AATAACGAAGGCTGGTCATAGTCCTAACGGTCAGGTCACAGCTGCAGCCCTTTCCCAACAACGCCCGAGGACCTTGAACGCAAACAGCCGGAGTGTGACTCCTTAGCTTCCCTTCTAACAGGTCCCTGTGGTCAGTTTTGTTCCTGTGGGGGAGGGGGTCCACATGGTGTGCGCATGTGTGTGCATGAGGATGGAGGCCAGAGGTCCACCACAGTCATTGTTCCCCGGGAGCCATCTACCTAGTTTTCGGAGACAGCATCTCTCACTGGGACTCGGGGCTCATTGATTAGGTTAGGCTGGCTAGCCTCCCCAAGTCTGGAATTACAAGCTAGTGCCCCCTGGCTTGTTTTGTGGACTCTGGGAGGGCGTTCAGGTCCTCGTGTTTGCCTGGTAAGCTCTCTGTGGACTGTGGTGTTCCCCCCCAGCTCCATTCCTGATCTCCCTCCTCCCTCCCCATTAATTTAATTTGTTTACTTTACATCCCATCTGAACTTGCCCTCCCTCCTCTCCTCCCAGTCCTCCCTACGGGGAGACCTCCCATGAATATCATCCTGCCTTGCCATGTCAAGTTGCAGTAGGACCTGGGGCACATCTTCTTCTGTTGAGGCTAGACAAGACCATCTAGTTAGGGGAAAGGGATCCAGAGGCAGGCCACAGAATCAGAGACACGGACGTACCACCCCCAACGCACCGCACCTGATCTCCATCTGATTTCCTTTCCTGCTATGGCTGCCCGCCAGCTCCCCGAGCATGAAATGTTAACCGATCCTTTGTGCTTTGGCATGATGTGTAATAATCACCAAGCCCTATTGATTCCGCTTCCTATGCTGTAGAAATCCATCTCTCCTGTCTCCAGTCAGTTGCCTCATTTAGACTGTTAGCATGACCTACGTGATCTTTCTGTCCCTTCCCTCCTAGCTTACTCCTCTTCCACTGAAGTTGGCTTTCTAACACAGGTGTGACCCTGTTGCTTAGGAACAGCATCTGCCCCTGAGGTGCTTGGCCAGACCTTTTGCAATCTGATGCTCATCTTCTTCTCTAGGCCTTCTTAAGACCACTTGTGGTTCTTCCTGTGCCTCACCCTCACTCTGTGCATGCTCTGCCCATCCTTCACATTTGCTTCTTCTTTTTCCCCACTTTCCCCCCAGCTATGAATGTCTTTTCATCCTTGCAGCTCTCACGGCTACGAGCATGTCTCTTTTGGAGCAGCTAGCACACTGCTTCGCCTCCAGCACAGCCTCTGAAGCTGGGATGCTCATCCCAGTTCCTTTATTGGAAAAACCCGGGTAGCTTGCTCCTCTATGCTCTGGTCCCTTCATGCATAGATGGGGCTGTAATTCCCAATCTGGAGGTCTCGCAGCATCATCATTAAAGGTGATGCGCGTAAGGCATTTAGGAGGGAGTCTGGACTATAATAGATGTCAATGAACAAGTAAGAGGAAGGCCATGGAGACAGAGTCTTAAATAACCCACAAAGTCAATGCTAGGAAGCTCTGAGAAGAATTTGGATTAACAGTTTTGTGTTTGTTAATCAGGAAGTCAGTTCTGTGCCAAGACCTCCTCCCCTGTACTCTCAGGCGAGGATACGTACATGGACACTTATGAATTTTTCAGTGTGTAAACAGTGAATCACCACATATCCAGGTTATCTAGTGTTCTATGCGATAGTTACATAAAACGTAAACAGATACATACACAAAGGTCTGGAACCATGTGCACTGAAGTTTTAGCAGGGACGTCTGTGGGACGGGAAAGCAAGCGCTTTAATTTTTTCGTGAGTAAAAAGTTACATTGAGGAGCTGCAGAGATGGCCGGGTGCAGTTTTCTGCACCCACATCATCAGGTGGCTCACAGACACCTGAAACTCAGGTTCAGGGGAGAGAGTGCTCTCTTCTGTCCTGCATGGGCACCTGCACACATTGGACCCACACAGACAAGCAGGCAGGCACACATACGCATAAAAAAAAAAAAACTTTAAAAGAAAATGCATTGCTCATGTATTGCTTTTACCCCCACCCCTACACAAAAAAACATCATTTAAAAATTTCCCCAAGGCCCCTGCAAATTGCAACATGTGGGATGTCAGTAAAGAAAACAAAATGTTTTAATCCAGGGGCCAATGTCAATATTGTTCTAAACCAATCCATGAAGGAAGGGCTTTGGAGGTAAGAAAGGAGAAGGCACAGGTCCAAGTTACCTAGTGAATTCGCGGGAAAACTGAGTTCAGGAAGTAACTTTCAGGGCTCAGGCTCCCCACTTCTGAATGAGGAAATGTACTTTTGTTACCAAGGCTGAGAGTGCCCAGCATGGAAGAACAGGTTCAACTCCAGGTCCTGACTTTTTTTCTCCTACCCACTTTAAGGTAGTGGGGAGAGTTCTCCATTGGTTTCTTCATCTAGAACTTGGTAACAGCAATGACTTCCCACAGGCTGGGCTCCACAGGACCATTGGAATGAACTCCAAGTAACCAGCCCTAGGCAAAGGCTTGCTCTGATGACTCTATCATAAGCTTTGGCTTCCAAGCCCCAACCCCAGTAGTGACAACCTGATTACACAAGGGTGAAAGGTCAACTTTCTCCAAGGCTGCATTTTCCAGTAGACACAGAAGAGAAAGCCTCCTCAGGCCAGCTCTGCTGACTGACCCCTCAGCCCAGGCCCCAGTACTGTGTGCAGTAGGGAGCTGGTGAGTGGGGGTGAAGGGCCTGTGGAGGTTCTGTTCTTCGCATCTCAAGACAGACTTAACCACAGGAAGCAGTTATCTCCATTTGTGTCAGAGGCTGAAGCATATGTTTGCTTTCTTGCCTCAGGGGCTGGGAATCAAAGGATGCGCATGGCAGCTTTCATTTCTCATCACGCTCTTGTTTTGGTTTCATAGGCACCAGTTCCCGGCTCTACAATTCCTGACACCTGTTATCTATCCTCCAGTTGATCAAAAAGTTGAGCTACATTTGCTCGAAATGTCAGAAGTGATAGAGAGAGCGGGGATGTCACAGTCTCCGTGGCAAGAGCAGGCTATCAGGGATGCATAAAGAAAGCCGCATGTGTCAGATTGCAGGATGAATGGCGCTTCCCAGCTTCTCCATTCACTCCCCTTATTTCAATGTACACACCACCAACACTCCATTTTTAAGATTCAGAGTTGGAGGAGACTACACGGCTCCCATACCCACCACCCTCACTTGACAGATGATGAAAAGTATATCCTAAGAGATGGCGCATCATGCCAAATACCATATGGTGAATTAACTCCAACAGAAGAAAAGAATAACAAAAGCTCACACAAGAAGTTGGGTCCATGCCCGTATCATGCCCAGGCATCTGGCCAAAGCAATTAATCCTGTGAAAAAAAATAATAATTTCAAAAAACCCATCACTTTATGTGAAAAAATTTTAAAATACTAATGTTTGAACTCCCTCCCCTGTTCATGAAATTCTGTTCTATTGCCCGGGTGTTGGCATTCCTCAAGTACCATAAACCATTGTAATCTGTAGTTGGCATTGGATAGCCTGGTAGAATACAGCAGGGAATTGCTTGGAGCCCAAAGACACAAGAATGAGTCTGGGCCATTTCAAGATCATCAGTGTGGCTCTGGGCAAGCTGATTAACTGCTTCTATCTATCTATTAACATATCCATTAATCCTTATGTCACACAAAAGCTGAAGCCAAGATGAGACAATGCTCATGAAAGTGTCTAGCCAACTCTGAAGTCTGTAGTTAGTCTGTGAGTCCAGACCCTTCAGACACAGCCAGTGGAACACTTTCCTAGAACTTTTCTTTTTGATATTCAGTAATTGAAGTCAACTCAGTCCTATTTATTGAATTTCTACTAGGAAAGGAACATTTTATGTTAGGTGCTGGTCGCATAAACGTGAAGACATTCTACAAAGATGAAGACACTGACCACCTCTTCTAGAAGGGGAAGTGGACATTAAAAAAGCCGCCGTTCCAAAGATGGTAAGAAATATGGCCACTGATGAGAACAAAGGAAGAGCTGCCTTGTCTGGGGGATGGAGGTCAGAAAGGGGCCATGATGTTGAGCTTTCCCAGGCAATGCTAGGTGGGGAAGACCGGGAGGGCTGTTCTAAGTCTAGGGTTAATCATATGCAAGGCTGTGCTTTGGAATGGCTGAGGCACAGGTAAAGCAGAGGATGACTCCATATACAAAGAAAAGCCGTTCCTTTCCTTTAGGAGAGAGGAAAACAAAATTTTCTGGTAGGTTTAAAAACAAAACAAAAAACATCAACAAACGGCCTTCCAAGGCCAGGATGACTGAATTAACTTTTAGAGACTTAGCTTATCCTCTGAGCCATAGGCAAATGGAACTCAGAGTTGCACAAATCGAAGCCCCTTGTTGGCCCTGGACTGAGCAAAGGTACTAGGTGACTGAGGAAGAGAAACAAACAGAAACTTTCCTAATTTAAAGGAAAATGAATGGGAAATAGGTTGTGGGGCCACCTAACACATCCACAGAACATTTTTCTTGCTCTTTTTGAGTGTTTCTGGAGGCCTTGACACTCGAAGTGATAAAAATGATTAGGGTAGGTGGGGTTTCAGATCCTGGAAAAACTTAACAAGAACTGCCTGGTGAGAAGCGGCAAGTAACACAAGAAACAAGAAAGGTCGAAGCGCTTCAGGCCCATTAGAATTTAAAGTGGTAGGTTTCCGAATTCCACATGCTTCTTTAAAATGCTGCATTGTCTCTTTAAGAGCATGTGGTGCACTTCAGAGCCTGATTCATGTCACCAGCTGCCTCTGATTTCAGCGAGAAATGCAGAATTTATAGGGAACTGTAAAATGGGGACAGGTTTTTAGTTTTCTAAATTGAGGTTTAACTGGCAAACTTCTGAAGGCTCAAGAAACCACAAGTGAGGTTGTGGGGAACTGGTTTCTTTTCCGGTCAGGGAAAAAAAAAATAATAATAAACACACAAACACATTATCTAACTCTGAAAGTGTTTGGAGGAAGAAATCGGTTTTGCTCTTTGCCTAGTAGGAAAATGAAGAATCAGCCTTGTGGGCAAGAGGAGGAGGATTGCATTAGCCAGTAGGCAGCACCCTTTGCTGGCAGAGAGAGAAATCTGAGCCTCAGCCGCGCCAGCCAGGAGCAGGCTTTGCACAAAACTATCTGGTTTCAAGTTGCTGTCTCCGGAGTCCCTGGGAAGGTGCCCCAGGGACAGGACTCCCTTTGCAGGGCCCTGAGGATAGATGAGAATTCCTCATCCCCAGCCACCAGAAAAACAAGCAGGTGAGTACCTAGATACAAGGTCAGACCCAGCGGGGTGCTTTACCATTGGTCTTGGAGGGGACCCTGCGTCTTCCTCTGACCGAGCACTCACCTCATTTTCCTGCCTTGTGTGCTCCTGGCCTTGGTCCCTCCTGCCAGACTTGTCTGTGAGCTCGTCCAGTCCCCGGTGTGGTGTCAGCGATGCCTTATCTTTGTTCTGAGGTCCCTGTGTGTCTCTGGAATTGGCTGGCATTCTCCATTCAGGTCACGCCTTCCCCTGCCTGCAACAGATCCCCTCTCCCCCTCTCCCTCTGCCTTTCCCTCTCTCTGACTGAGCTTGTGCACACTCAGAGGACCTGACAGAACTGTTTCCTTGGAAGATCTGCTGGCTAGTCCCCTCCCTGGGAGGGACTGCAGCCTTTGAGAAAAAAAAAAAAATCTGAGACACTTAGAGGTGTGTGTGTGTGTGTGTGAGAGAGAGAGAGAGAAAGAAGAGAATTAATTTCTCTTCACCCTCCCTTGCCTGGTGGCTATAACAGTTTGTTCTACTTCAGGACCCCAGCAAAAGAACAATTAAACAGAGACAGCCAACTAAAAAGGCAATTCTAGGAGATGATAAAAAAAGAATGCAGATCCCAAGCCTCAGCCTATCCTTGGACATCTGCAGGTTTTTCTGAAAACCGAGTGTCTGGTACAGACTGCGAGGGAGCACCAGTTTCTGCAGTTGGCTACTTTCTCTCCCCACTTGAAAGGCAGACGCGTGGCGCTGCTTAGCTGCAAGCGTGCAGAGGTCTAATCCACCAATTTGGGAAAGAACTTCAGCAAAGTCAGAGAGTCCAGTGACCCTTGCGTCTAGGAAGACCTGTGCCTGTGAAGGGTCAGTGCCCCAGGCCTCTGGAGAAATGGTACTGCGGACCTATTATCATAAGAGATAGCCCTCGCTATCAAGACGGCACCAAATGGACTCTCGCCACATGTACCCCCCCCCCCCAATTAACCCCTACCCTGTCACCACACTATAACCTCTGCGCTCCGACGATGGAGTAATAACTCCAACACACAAAAATGAAGAGAGTGCAAAAGGGACATCTGTGCCAGGCACAGATGCTATCTAAAGTACTTTTACAAACTCCTGAAGGTTCTCTGGGGTGCATCTTTTACAGGTGAGGAGATGATGGTTTGGCAAGCTGACACGACCAGCCAAGGCCATCCAGATACCCATTATCATTCCTGAGGCTAGGGCCTCTTCAAGCCAGCTGTGCTAAAGCACTTCCCACACTCATTCCTTCAAGTACCTTTGCGTCTTGTGTACATCACTGGTGACATTATAACTCCACTTTCCAATGAAGAAACTAGCCAGAGAAGCTGGTCACGTAGCTAGAAAGGGAGGAAGAATTTCACCTCTTATACACGCAATTATACCGTGTCTCAGTAATATACCATAATACATGTGCCATAACACCACATATCCACAAACCGAATCATCTGGAAAGAGCTTTAGACACTGTGCAGAACTTAGCAGTGATCTGTGTCTTCAGCCCAACCTGGCTGTGCGTGGCACTTAATGTTCCTGATTCTGTCTCCCAGCTTGCTCAGCGGAAGCTGTAAGGAGGTTCGGGCAAGGTTCCAACTATAAAGGGTGCTTTTCAGTCCTGCAGAAGGCTACCTGCCACCTGGATCAAGGTGACAAAGACATTCTCCACCCTTAGATAACACTCCTTTGACATGTTTTTTTTTTTTTTTGAGGAGCAATGACTTCACAGCCGCTGTAATTCTTGCCTGTTTTCTCTAGTGTCTCCATTTTAGCTAATCTTTTAAAAATGTATTTATTTTTATTTTATGTACATTGGTGTTTTGACTGCATGTATGTCTGAGTGAGGGTGTCAGATCCCCTGGAACTGGAGTTACAGACAGTTGTGAGCTGCTATGTGGGTGCTGGGAATTGAACTCTGGTCCCCTGGAAGAGCTGTCAGTGCTCTTAACCACTGAGCCATCTCTCCAGCCCCTATCTCAAGTGTCAGCCTGGTGTGCTTGGCATGGCTACTGGCCTCTGGTTGATAATACGGGTGCACAGGTGCGATATGCAGGGAAGTCTGAACTTAAGCATCCTCTAAAAGAAATGTTCTCTGTCGCAGGCAGGATAAAAAAAATACAAAAGCCTGTAAAACCCCCATTAAGCAGACTGTCAGGCTCTTTAGACATCAAATAACTCTCACAAAACAACATTTTAATGATTTAAGTGTAAATGAATCAGAAACACATGGGCTGCATTTCTTTTGGAATACACAAGGGTTTTCAAACCAACGGAGAAAGAACTTGGCAAGACTAACACTGCGCATTGGCCATGCCCGGGAAAGGAGTCCCTCAATTCTTCCTGCAGCTCAGGGTGCCCTCCTCTGGCTTTAGCGTACGTGTTAGGAAAAACGTTTTTTTTTTTTTTTTTTTTTTTTTTTTTTTTTTTTTTTTTTTTTTTCTGGCTCAGGGCACAGACGGAAGGGCTTGGGAGGGGAAAGCCACAAGCCGCCCCTTTGTGAAGTGTCACACAGAGCAAGTAAGCCTCCGGGGATACCTTCCTTTTCTAAAGCTGCCAGCGATCCACGGGAGACGTTTGAAGGATATTCTGAGCTCAAGTTCTGGCAATGTGCAGCAGATCTGGTGTGTGCCTTCCCTAGGAGTCAGCCAAAGCTCAGTGGAAGGCTCTGGGTGTGGCTCCCGCAGCTCTCTCCTGGCTTGGACTAGTCCTTTGATGAAGGCTCGCTGAGATGTCCTCATCAGATCCAGGTGTGGGCCAGATGCCCTTGCTGCCCTCGGGTCTGAAGCACTGGGCTTCCCGGTCTGTAGTCTCAGTTGTCTCGGCTTTAGGGAAGGCATCTACTTACTTAGGCGAGACATCAGTTCACTTGTGTAGGAGCTCACAGAGCAGGATGTGGGTGTGAAAAGATGCTCTGATGGTAAGCAGCTTCCCTGTGCGGGGACAGGAGGCCAGAGGGGCTCTCACGAAAGTGCCAATTGCTTCCTCTGTGGTTTTGACAGTGTCGTCATTCATTACTCATAATCCTATCACGGATATTAAGAAAAACTCATGTTTGGAAAGATTCAATTAGTTTCTTTAAAAGTCTGAAAAAAAAATAGTTTAAAATGCACACAAGGAACCCATAGTTCTTTAGTTCTAAGCATAGAAATCTGGACCGCAAGGGTGGGTGAAGAGCCCTCACAGTCAGGAAGCCCTGTTAGAAAGCAGCCTCTATGGAAATGAGTCCTACAGCTTTCCTACCCCGGAACGCTGGGGTTTACATTTTCTACCATAATATTTACTTTGTAGCCTCTCAGTGAAAGTTTCTGGAACTCTGCTAATGTGTCAGAAAATGTAAAGAATTTGCTCAATGGATTTTTCTTTTGCAGGGGGGCGGGGCAAAACCTGAAACCTGGGCTTCCTTATGAATGTCTGAGAAGAGAATAAAGAAAGAAAGTGAGTGCGGTTTAGAGTTACAGTCGTGGTGAAGCACAGCTACAATCCCCTGTTCTCAGAAGAGAAGCAAGAAGACCTCAAATTCAAGGCTGGTCTAGCTGCCCAGTGACACGCGCATCAAAAAACCAGACCAAACCAAAACATCCAACGGTAGGTAGTTCAGCTCGTTGACTAGGAGTATGCCAAAGGCCATAACTTCTGACCTTCCAGGTCATCACGATAATGTGGGAAATTAAAAGAATTCCCATGTTTCATCCCGAAGAGCCAAATTCACGTCAGCTGAATCTGAAATTGTGAAACTCCGCCTGGCATGACTGCACCATTTTTGTTTTTTTAAATGCATACAACACAGAGCATCATCATAAATGGGACTATTTTTCTGATTTCTTTCTTGGCACGTTGTCTTTCAGTGTCTTCTATGTTGATTTTGCATCCTGCTACTTTGCTGTCAGTGTTATCAGTTCTAAGTTTTTTTTTTTTTCTCTCTTTCTTCTTTTTTTCCCCACAAAGTCCTTAGGGTCTTTAACACACAAAATACACTGTTTATTTACAAATATGCTAAAAATTAGTCATTCTTCAAGAAGCAGTTCCAGGAAAACTAGGTATCCAGATGTAGGAGAAAGGAACTAGATCTCATCTCTCATACTGTATAGAAATCAACTCAAAATGTGCCAAAGATGCTATGCAAGACCTGGAATTCTGATTGTGTTAGAGCAAAACATAAGGAGGATATATCAAGATACAGATACAGGAAAAGACTTTCTGAAAAGGACTTTAGCAGCTAGAAGAATAAAATCAAGAACTCACAAATTATTTTGCAACACTAAGAGGCATCTGTACAACAAAGGAGATAATCTAATGAGGAGACAACAGAGAGAGCAAGAGGAAATCTTTGCCAGCTACATGTCTCACAGAAATTTAACACCTAGACTGCATAAAGAACTGAAAATGTCGAACACTCTGAAGCCAAACATCTCAAGTGATGAATGAAATGAAGAGACAGTTCACAAAGAGTTCATCAGTGAAGTACAAACAGCCAACGAACAAGTGAAAAAATAGTTAGCATCCTTTGCCATCAAGGACATTCATATTAAAACTACTTTGAGATTCATTTCATCTTGCCTCAGTCAGAATGACCATCGTCATGAAAACACTCAATTATCACACCATGGTACAAAATTCTATATATTTATGACATACAATATGATTTAACATAGGTGAATATGGAATGTACAGACTCAACACATTAACATATATGTCTGCTCGAAGAAAATAGCTGGCAGATGCAAATTAGGTCTTGGTTTCATGGAGGACATGGAAGGTCCTCTGTAGTGTTGGGAACTTGGACTGTGACTTGTGACATTGCCACACAGAGGAAAGGGGGTCTGCTTTTAAACCTGAAGGTTCACCCTGATAGCAACCCACATCTTCCAGGGAAGCCCTGTTTTCCAGTGCCTCACGATCTCCCAGAGCAGTGCTAGCATCTAAGAAAACAAACTAAACCGAAGGTGTTTTCTTCTAATATATTTGTATTTGGTTGATTTAAATTATTCTTTGTGTTATTGCTTAGCATTATTTATTTTGCATCTGGGGAGTTTTTTTTTTTTTTTGTTATCTACTGAGGAGCCTGTTTTTCCCATAGGTTATTCTTGACACCTTTGGCAAAGACTTTCATCTCCATTTCCTTATGTATGTGGGTCTCTGCCATGCACCATTAGCCCACATGTCTGTTTGTTGTGCCTTATTATTTATTTTGATTTCTGTAGATTTAAATGTTACTTTCTCTACACTGTAAATCCAAGAGTTGTGCTGCCTCTAACTTTGTTCTTTTATGTAAAATTTTTCTTGAAGCTGCTTGAAATATTTTGTAGTTTCATAAAATGTTTGATATTTTTCTACCTTTGTGAAAAATATTAGAATTTTCAGAGTGACAGCATCATATCTGTATATTACTTTGAGTAGTGTGAGTATTTTAATTACCTGTATATAACTTTGGGTAGTATGACCATTTTATTTTAATTACACTTTCATATTTATTCATCTTTGTGCATATATGTACAAACATATGTGTCATGGAAGACATGAGAAGGTCAGAAGACAACTTGGAGGAGTTGATTTTCTCTTTCCAACAATTGTGTTCCTGGAATTGAAATTAAGTCCTCAGCCTTGATAGCAAAAAACCTTCACCCTCTGGACAACCCTGCTCACCCAGAAATTAAAAAAAAAATCATTTCTTCAAATCCATGATAAGGGGCATATATCATTTGTTTATATTCTATTTACTTTCTTTCACTAGTCTGTTAATGTACAGAAATGCTACTGATATTTGTACACTGAATCTGTATCTTATAACAGGGTTTAAAAAATTATTTTACTTCCCCCCCCCCCGAAGGAGGAGTAGCCTTGCTAGGCCACAGAAGAGGACACTGCAGCCAGTCCTGAAGAGACCCGATAAGCTAGGGTCAGATGGAAGGGGAGGAGGTCCTCCCCCATCAATGGACTTGGAAAGGGGCAGGAAGGAGATGAGGGAAAGAGGGTGGGATTGGGAGGGAGTGAGGGAGGAGGCTATGGCTGGGATACAAAGTAAATAACCTGTGATTAATATAAAAAATAAAAAATATTTTAACAGTTTTCTTTAGACTTCTAAAGCTTTCTATGTGTAGGATTATATCAATATAACTTTTCCCTTTTAACTTGTATGCCTTAGATTTAATTATTTAATTTTCTTTTTCTTATTGCTTTCTCTAGTACTAGCACTCTGTTGAAAAGTAGCACCACAAATGAACATTCCTGTGTTGTTCTGATGCCAGAGGAAAACAAAAGCTTTGTGCTTTTAACAGTTGAGTAGGATGTTGCCATGAGCATATCATATACAACCTTTGTTAGGTTAAGATACATTATTACTTCTGTACTTTGCTGATAAGAGCATAAAGGGATGTTGAACTTTGTCAATTCTTTTTTGCTCCCTATTGAGGTGATCATATAGTTTTTTTAAAGATTTGTTTTTATTTATTATGTATACAATGTTCTATCTGCTGTACACCTGCATGACTGAAGAGGACACCAGATCTCATTATCTGAGCCACATGGTTGTGAGCCACCATGTGGTTACTGGGAATGGAACTCAAGATCTTTGGAAGAGCAGTCAGTGCTCTTAACCTCCGAGCCATCTCTCCAGCCCGATCATACAGTTTTTGTCCATTTTATTACAATATCGCATTTATTGATTGGCATGTGTAGAGCCATTTGTATTAGTTTGCTGTGACTAAATATCCCATGAGAAGCAACTTAAGAGGGAGCAAGTTTATTCCAGCTCACAATGAAGGGCTACACCGCCCTCCGAGGGAAAGAAATGTAATGGCAGTAGCACGAGGCAGCTGGCCACATCGTTTCTGCGGTAAGGAAGAGAAGAGTAGACAGCAGGCTGGAAGTGAGACAGGACGTAAAATCATCCTCCCACAGTGACCTGCTTCCTGCAACAAGAATCTGCCCCCTAAAAGTTCCACAGCCTTCTGAACAGCATCCTCAGCTGAGGATCAAATATTTCAACACCGGAGCCTATGGGGACTTTCTGTATTAAAACTATGGCATCCCTTCTTTGGCCCTCATAGACACATGGCAATCTCATACTTCAAAATACATTCTTTCCAACTTAAAATGCCCTACGGTCTTGAACACTCCTGTTGCGAACGTTTTGCTTTATGATATGTAAATGTATGTTTATGATATGTATACGTGTTTTTGTTACAATTTCAGGTTGGGGATTTCAGTGTGTCTATACCTGTTAAGTCTCTCCTGCGGAGCATGGTCTTTGCCAGGTGGAATTAGTTGAATTCTGAGGACTTTGAGGGGAATAAATACAGCTCAGAGGAAGAAGGCGTGGGTGCTTGGGGGAGGACTGCTTGCTGCTGGTTCATCCTTTGCTGCTGTTTTTTGCTGTTTGCTGATTTGCTGGTTACCTCTACTTCTGAATTATTATTATTATTTTTTGGTATTGGTATTGCCCCCCAAAGAATCCTGCAACCCTACGCAGCGGAAAGTAGCAGAGTGAACTCTGTTCCCTGTTCCCATCTGTTTCCAGGTATTTTCTTCTAGTAGACATGTATGTTAGTGTGTTGGGGGTTGGAAGGGAGGTAGAAGTGGTTAAGAACCCTAAATAAAATAGGTTTGATAAAAAAAATCTAGGTCAACGCAGTCCAAAGTCTGTCCAAAGGTCAAAAGTCTCTTCTGTGACTCAAGGCACTCTCCTAATTGTGATTCTCTGTTACATGAAAACAATAGCAGCAGCAGCAGCAAAAACAACAACAACAACAACAACAACGTATATACTTTCAACATACAATGACCCAAAGTCAACATTACCATTCCAAAAGGAAGGAATGGGGTATAACAAGGAAAGATCAAATCCCATTAAGACAAACAAGGATACTTCACTCAGAATGATCTTTTCTAGATCCCACCATTTGCCTGCAAATTTCATGATTTCCTCTTTTTTGATTGCTGAGTAGTATTCCATTGTGTAAAAATACCACAATTTCTGTACCCATTCCTCCATTGATGGACATCTGGGTTGTTTCCAGGTTCTGGCTATTACAAATAAAGCTGCTACAAACATGGTTGAGCAAATGTCCTTATTGTGTACTTGAGCAAATTTTGGGTATATGCCTAGCAGTGGTATAGCTGGGTCTTGAGGAAGCACTATTCCTAGTTGTCTGAGAAAGCGCCAGATTGACTTCCAAAGTGGTTGTACCAGTTTACATTCCCACCAGCAATGGAGGAAGGTTCCCCTTTCTCCACAACCTCTCCAGCATGTGTTGTCACTTGAGTTTTTCATCTTGGCCATTTTGATGGGTGTAAGGTGAAATCTCAGGGTCATTTTGATTTGCATTTCCCTGATGGCTAATGATGTTGAGCATTCCTTTAAGTGTTTCTCTGCCATTCTATATTCCTCTACAGAGAATTCTCTGTTTAGCTCTGATCCCCATTTTTTAATTGGATTACTTGGTTTGTTGCTTTTCAGCTTCTTTAGTTCTTTGTATATACTGGATATTAGCCCTCTGTCAGATAAAGGGTTGGTGAAGATTCTTTCCCAATCTGTGGGCAGTCATTTTGTTTTGATGACGGTGTCCTTTGCTTTACAGAAGCTTTTCAGTTTCATGAGGTCCCATTTATTGATTGTTGCTATTAAAGCCTGTACTGTTGGAGTTCTGTTCAGGAAGTTGTCTCCTGTGCCAATGAGTTCTAGGCTGTTCCCCACTTTTTCTTCTAACAGATTTAGCGTATCTGGTTTTATGTTGAAGTATCCCAGAAGGAGAAAGACAAACATGGAATATACTCGCTTATATAGACCTAAAAGATATGATAAACATAATGAAATCTACACACCTAAAGAAGATAATCAAGAAAATGGACACGGGGTATGATGATCAATCCTCATTTAGAAAGACAAATGGGATATGCATTGAACGTATGACAGGAGTCTACCGCAGAAGGCATGTGAAAGACTCTACCTAGCAGTGTATCAAAGTAGATACTAAGACTCATAACCAAACCCTCGGCAGAGTGCAGGGAATCATATGAAAGAAGGGGAGTTTGATGTGGAAAGGATAGGAGCTCCGCAAGGACCAAACATATCTGGGCACAGGGTCTTTTCTGAGATGGACACTCAACCAAAGACCATGAGAGGATAAAACCTAGAACCTCTGCTCGGATGTGACCCGTGATAGCTCAGTAATCAATTGGTTTCCCATAGTAAGGGGAACAAGGACTATTTCTAACAGGAACTCAATGACTGGCTCTTTGACCTCCCCACCTCCCAAGGGAGGAGCAGTGCTGTTAGGCCACAGAGGAGGACTTTGCAGCCAGTCCTGAAAATACCTGACAAAACGGAGTCATATGAAAGAGGAGGAGGTCCTCCCCTATCAGTGGACTTGGAAAGGGGCAGGCAGGGAGGAGATGAGGGAGGGAGGGTGGGACTGGGGAGGGAATGAGGGATACAGCTGGGATACAGAATTAACAAAATGTAATTAATGAGAAAAATAAAATTAAAAAAAAATGAGACTATGTGAAAAACTTAAAAAAAAAAAGACAAACAAGGAATTTAGCATCTCTGTGTATTTGAAAGACTATGGAACCTGTGATAGATGTGGTCTTACCCTTAGAGAACTTACTTTTTCTTTTCTTTTCTTTTCTTTTCTTTTCTTTTCTTTTCTTTTCTTTTCTTTTCTTTTCTTTTCTCTTCTCTTCTTTTCTTTTCCTTTCCTTTTCTTTTCCTATTCTTTTCTTTTCTTTTTTCTTTTTTTTCTTTCTCTTTCCTGACAGGGTTTCTCTGTGTAGCCTTGGCTGTCCTGGATTTGCTTTATTGAGCAGGCTGGCCTTGAATTCACAAAGATCCACCTGCCTCTGCCTCCCTGCATGCTGGAATTACAGTTGTGTGCCACCACGCCCAGCCAGAGAACTTTTCTTATTGTTCTTGAACACAGCAATATGTTTCTGTTTTATTGTACTAACCTCTTCAATAGTTTTGCTGCTGTCCCAGCATCTGCTCTGACTCCAACTTTAAATTTGCTAATGCTCCTTGTTTCATAAAATCACATTTTTTTTTTTAACTGCTGACCTGGAGATGAGTATTCTCACCTCTCTGACACCCATCGGAACTGCACATTAAACTCTGCTTTATAGCATTCTAGAGCTCCACTAGCCTGCAGTTTCAAGATCTTCCTGAGTTCTCCCAGATCTTTCTGACTCCTCCCAAACTGTCTCCAAAGACCAAAGAGCCATATGGTCAGGTTTATCAGAGCAGCAACCCCACTCCTGACACCAACTTCTATATGAGTTACTTTTCTTGTTGCTGTGACCGAATACCTTATGAGGTTTGTTTGTTTGTTTATTTATTTTTATTATTAGTTACATTTTATTAACTCTGTATCCCACTCCCTCATTCTCTCCCAAACCCTCCCTCCCTCCCTCATCTCCTCCCTGCCCCTTTCCAAGTCCACTGATTGGGGAGGACCTCCTCTTCTTTCATCTGACTCTGTTTTATCAGGTATCTTCAGGATTGGCTGCAAAGTCCTCCTCTGTGGCCAAGCAGGACTGCTCCTCTCTTGGAGGTGTGGGGAGGTCAAAGATCCTGCCATTGAGTTCCTGTCAGAAATAGTCCCTGAGGATGAAGAGTTTACATTGGCTCACAATTTAACGGTTACAGCCACTGAGGCAAGAAAGGCGTGGCCATAGGAGTTCGAGGTGGCACATTTATTCCTGCAGCCAGGAAGCAGAGAACAAACAGAAAGGGGGTGTGGGCTGTAAAACCTGAAGCCCACCTCCAGTCATACACTTTCTTCTGGGAAACTTCATCTCTCAATGTTTCTCAACTTTCCAAACAGAATGCAGAACAAGCATTCAAATTACCTGAGCCTATGGGTACTTTTCACATTGAAATTATACCATCCATGCATTACAAAGAGAAATTCCACTTTGTCCTGCTGAATGATCCCTTTATAAAACATTGTTGAATTAAGTTTGTTAGTGTCCTGTCGAGGAGTTGATCACTATGTCTATCATTAATATCTGCATATAAGTTTCTCTTCTTACATATAGTATCATTGTCTGGCTTTGATCACAAGTATCGGTGGCCCTACAAAATGGGTCTAAATGTTTTTAGCTCAAGAAGGATAGATATTAGTGTTTTAGTCATGAACCTCTGGGTTTAGGTTTTACTTGCTGGGAAATTTTTAATTATTAATTAAGTCTCTTTATGTATTATTGGTATGTGATCAGAGTTCCTAGTTCTTCACGATAAGTTTTGGTAGGTTATTTACCTATTTATTTTATGTTGTTTAATTGTTGGTGTAAGTTTTTTTTTATAGGAATGTCTTATGAGCCTTTGTGTTTCTATAGTACTGGATGAAATATCTCATCCATAATTTTATTTATTTGAAGGTTTTTGCTCCTGGATATATACTTATGAATGGTCTATTTGTCCTTTTAGAAAGACAATTCTTAGTTTTTTTTTTTTTTTAAATTCATGGTCTTTCTATTTCAATTATTCTATTTTAATATTTATTATTTCTCATTAGCTTATTATTGTCATCATTGTTGCTCTGTTTTGCTTCCTCGAAGTCTATTATTAAATTTTTTGTGATCTCTTTTGCTTTCTTATTTGTTTAGTTCTGGTTTTCTTTAGATAGAGTCTCCTATACAGCACAGCCTGGCTTCCAACTTATGAGCCTCTTACTTCAGTTTCTTGAGTGCTGCATGCACAAAAGCAAGGGTGGCTGGACCTAGCATTTATCTGAATGTGGGCATTTGTTGCTTTAAATTTCCATCTCATGATTGTCTTTGTTGCTTTTGGTAGTGTGTGGTGTGCTTTGATTTTTATTTTCACTTTTCAGATACTTTATAAAATTTCCCTTTTGCTGTTTTCTTTGATTTACTGAATTTTTCATTGCTTAACTGACATGTTTTTGATTTTTTAAGTTACTTCTGTCATTGAGTTTTAGCTACATACTATTGTGTGTGAAAAAATGCTTGATCTAATGTCTTTTTTTAAAAAAATATTTTTCTTATTTTTAGTTGTGTGTGTGTGTGTGTGTGTGTGTGTGTGCGTTTACGGGCATGCACACACATGTCGAGTGGGGTTTGTAAGTACATGTGTGTAGGTGCCACTGGAAATCGGAAGAGGTCATCAGATCTACTGGAACTGGAGCTACAGGCGGTTGTGGATTGCCCGATGTGGATGCTGGGACTGAACTCCAGCTCTCTGCAAGAGCAGGAAGTTCTCTTTGCTGCTGAGCTTTCTCTTTAGTCTCCCTGAGTTCCCTTTAAAAAAATTATTTCTTCTCTAAGTTCTATAGTATCCTGAAGAATATAACATATTTACTTGAGTCACATATCTGTTTTGTTCCTTAGTGAAATATTTTGTATATGTGCCTGCCCTGTTTGGATGATGGTATTATTCAAGCTATTTCTTTCTTTTTTATTTTTTTCCTATATAGATTACCTATCTATTGTTGGGAAGGAGGCACTGAAATCACCCAACCCAGCATTTATTGTACTTCATTCTTTTTCTCTCTTTAGGTTTTTCTTACCCTACTGGGTGGATATTACTTTATGCCACTGTAAACATTAAGGTCAAAGATAAAACTATTGTAAGTTGTTGAGTATACACATTTCAATTTGATTTTTACATGTGTCTTTGAGGTTGGACCATAATTCCAAAATATGGAGTTCTGAATGCAATAATTCTGAATATTGGAGTTTCCAAAGATCAAAATCCTCCAAGTGTGACTTAAAATTTGTTAAGAGGTTTGAGAAACACATAAAACATACCACCTTATACAATAAAATACAAGGAAAGATACAGTTTTACGAACAATGTTCAAGTACTCTGATGACAGTGTCACAAGCAGAAGAGCTACCAATAGTGAAACTGCTGTCACAGAGGAAATAGCTCAGAAGTGAAATGTGTAAACACAGATCACTACGGCTGGCAACTGTGTTCACCAGCTTTACATGTGCAGTCATCTGCAGTGTGGTCCTGGATCATCTAACTCAGATCAATCGAAAACAGTGATTCTTGATCACAAGGCCAGCCAGCATCCAGTCCAGACATGGCAAA